AAACATATCTAGGAGGGTGGGTTTTTTTTTGGGGAGGGGGGTGGAGCATGGTTTTGAGGAGTGGCTTAAAGAGCTGGGCATGTTTAGCCTGCAGAAGAGAAGGCTGAGAGGAGACATGATAGCCATGTTTAAATATCTGAGAGGAAGTCATAGGGAGGAGGGAGCAAGCTTGTTTTCCACTGCTGTGGAGAATAGGACATGGAACAATGGCTTCAAACTACAGGACAGGAGATTCCACCTGAATATTGGAAAGAATTTCCTAAATGGGTTGCTGTAGGTTTTTCGAGCTTGTATGGCCATGTTCTAGAAGCATTCTCTCCTGACATTTCGCCTTCATTTGTGGCAGGCATCCTAAGAGGTTGTGAGGTCTGTTGGAAACTAGAAATACTGGGTTTATATATCTGTGGAAGGCCCAGGATGGGAGAAAGAACTCTTATCTGTTGGAAGTAGGTGTAAATGTTTCAATTGGCCATCTTGATTAGCATTTGATGACCTGACCGTTTTTAGGTGTGGCTTGTTAGTGCCTGAGGAAATCCTTTGTTGAGAGGTGATTAGCTGTCCCTGATTATTTCTTGTCTGGAGTTCCCCTATGTTTGAGTTTTGTTCTTTATTTATTGTTATAATTTTAGAGATTTTGTTCATTTTGTTCATTTTCATGGTTTCTTCCTTTCTGTTGAAATTGTCCACATGCTTGTGGATTTCAATGGCTTCTCTGTGTAGCCTGACATGGTAGTTGTTAGAGTGGTCCAGCATTTCTATGTTCTCAAATAATATGCTATGTCCAGGTTGGTTCATCAGGTGCTCTGCTATGGCTGACTTCTCTGGTTGAAGTAGTCTGCAATGCCTTTCATGTTCCTTGATTCATGTTTGGGCGTTGCGTCTGGTGGTCCCTATGTAGATCTGTCCACAGCTGCATGGTATACAGTAGACTCCTGCAGAAGTGAGAGGATCCCTCTGTGAGAGCTGTTCAGCAATGAAATTCTTTGCCCCATTGGTGGAAGCTCCTTCTTTAGAGGCTTTTAAACAGTGGCTGGATGGTGGTGGATGGTTCCTGCTTCTTGACAGTGGGTTGGATTGGGTGGTCCACGAGGTCTCTTCCAACTCTTTGAGTCTATGATCCATAAAGAAGAATCAGGTGACTTTCTCCTTCATTGGACTGTGGTTCCTCTCCTTTCAAGGTTTCTGATAGCCTCAGCAACCATTGTTGGCCTGCAATGCCCAGAATACTTGCTACTAGTCATCCCTGCATAATGCTAGCCTTTGTCAAGTAGGAATGGGGAATGTTTTGCACTCAATTGGATGATATAATGTTCAGCATGCTGTTAGTGCGCTAGTGTATTTGTTGACTCAAACCAGATATATTTTGGTAAATATGTGTAGTTTTGCCTGTCTTTGCTGGACAGAGTTCTCCAAACTGACATTTGACTTTGAAGTGCAGCAGTTTGCCCTTGGCTGTGCCACTCTTGATGGAAGTGCTCTGGGTTGAGTTATGGGAAGCCGGAGAAAACAGCTAACCAAGCAAGAGCTTCTTGGAACATGAATCAGGACAGGCTTAGACAGAAAAAGCCTTTCCTTTGCCAAGATGGAGAATAGAAATCACGCTGAAATATAGGATGCAATTAATGTCGAGCAAGACCATCACCTAAAGAAATATTAGGGGCCGCAAAGCTCAGAAGTTCCTTTTGTGTCGGTGAATATAGTCAAAACAAATTACCAGCCTGGATAATTACATTCCACTTTAGGCTTTGGATCCCCAGACCCAATCAGTGGGCTCCAAGATTCAATTTACCATGTGTTCTTAGAGCTGTTGCTGTTATTCCACACATTAGGGAACCACTGGAGACTACTATACTTTTTCAGAAATTGGCTCATTTCAAGCTTCTAGTCTATATGATTTCAGAACAAAATTTGAATCTGTACAGAAGAGAGACAATTAACAATAAGCTGCTAAGCAGTATCACAATGACATTACATTGCATTTGTAGAAATGATAATTGAAGTTGGGAATCTAATTACTTAGATTTGTTTGATAGCAAAAAATATCAACATTTCACTTCTATCACTGCTATTATCCAACAGTGAAAAATAAATTATATTATTGTCCACCACTCTAAGATCCATGTGTTTGTATTTTAAACATTCATTCTTGGTTAGGGATACTTGGATGTATTTTCCAATACTTATACTTGAGTAATTAGCAATAAAAAGAGTGGCATCTTCTTTGATTATCCTCAAAACAAGGAGTGGGAATTGTGTGGATCTCCAGATGATTGGACCGGGCTGTGACGCAGCTGGTTGGGAGTCAGCTGCGTTAAAATCATTACTGACCGAGAGGTCATGAGTTCGAAGCCAGCCTGAGTCGGAGTGAGCTTCTGGCCATTTGCCTAGCTTGTTGTCGACCTTTGCAGCCCAAAGGACAGTTGCATCTGTCAAGTAGGAAATTTAGGTACCGCTTATGTGGAGAGACTAATTTAACTAATTTATGACACCATAAAAAAACTCTCCAGCAGCCTGCAAAAGAATGAGGAAGTACTCCATCGGTGTCAGAAGTGGATGGTGAAGCAACAGCTCCACCAGTGGCCAGAATTCAAAAAGCATACCCTCATGAAGGTGGAAAGTTAAATAGCCTCTGTGTCTGTCTATATAAGTTGTGTGTCTGTGGCACTGAATGTTTGCCATGTATATGTGCATTGTGATCCGCCCTGAGTCCCCTGCGGGGTGAGAACAGCAGAATATAAATACTGTAAATAAATAAATAATAAATAAACTACAGTTTCCAGAGATCCTTCCAATTATCTTTGTGGTCTGAACACACAGACAATACCAGTGGAGTGCCACATCATTTCCATCCCTTCCTAAACCTCTCACGCCTAATAACGCCTACTTATTGGTTGGATTCATAGGACTGTAGGGCGTGATAAGAAATGAAGGTAATCTGTTCCCAAAAATTTATGGGAAAGCAGATTTTTCAAAACCATGTCAGTGTTTCTGGGTTCCATGGGGCCAAATATAATTGAATATTGCAAACATAAGCATAATTTATATGCCCATACAGCGAGATTCCCATAACCACAAAACCCATATCTGCTGTTTTGCTTACAAATGACAGGATAGGAATGGTCTCTCTAGGCTTGTTCTAGGTCCTCCAGGGGATTCTATGGTATGCTTCCCTCAGAAGTTACCATAGAGTTGCATTGTAATAATAATAATAATAATAATAATAATAATAATACTTTTATTTGTATTCCACCCTATCTCCACAAGAGAACTCAGGGCAGATTCCGGCATACACAAACACAAGGCAAACATTCAATGCCTAGAAACCACGAAACATAGATAAAGGCTTCCTCTTCTGGCTCTGAGGTGTGGTGCTCGTCTCTGGCTCTGGAGGGTGGTGCTTATCTCAATTTCTAAGCCAAAGAACCTGCGTTGTCTGAAGACACCTCCAAGGTCATGTGGCCGGCATGACTGCATGGAGCGCCATTTACCTTCCCGCCAAGGTGGTACCTATTGATCTACATTTGCATGTTTCCGAATTACTAGGTTGGCAGAAGCTGGGGCTAACAGCAGGAGCTCACCCACGGATTCGTACCACCAATCTTCCGGTCAGCAAGTTCAGCAGCTCAGTGGTTTAACCTGTTGCACCACCATGGCTCCTCTCTAGGAACTTGCAGTGTAGGATATTGTAAGTTCCTAGAGAGGATACCTTTCAAGGAATCTCTAGGTCATCCAAAGCAGTTCTGAGATATGCTGGATCTGGAGTTCAATTGTATCCATGGTTTCAGATAACCATGGTCCAGTAGGGAATTTATTCTCCGTGGATATCAGGTTGTTACTGTATAATTTCAGCAGCCATATAACAAATTAGATGTTAAATGTGACACATATCCATCATCCTCAAAGCTCCATACATCCAATGAGGTCCCAGTGCAGGACATGATTGTAGGATTCGTCTGCTTTTGATCCTCAATAGTGTTACAATATTTAGATGCAACCCTAAGGCATTAAATATAAATAAAAATAGATGCTAATGAAATACAGAACTTTCACTACAAAGAATGTACCCTTTAGATCCATCCTAAGTGAATAACAGAAAACTCCAATTTCCCCAAGGAAATTAGACAAGCCCCATCCCTCCCCTCCTTTCGTAAGAGCTTGAAGACCTGGTGGTTTCAACAAGCCTTTGAGAATTACTAGTTCTAGCTCAGCCCTAGACATTGTTGAATATGGCCTTATTTTTTCCTACCAATTACCTAGGTCACTTCCTCTAATAGGCCCCGAAAATGAACAGCCATAGACCCGTACCTATTATTGTTGTTGCCTGCTATAGAACTGCACTTAATTCCCGGGCCCCTAAAATTTTGAGCTTGCACTAATCTTGGCTCAGCCTTTTAAATTGCCTTGAACAGGCAGGATTACTTTTAATATATATGTGTTATGGCGACAATTTTTATGCTTTTATTGTTTTGTTAATCTTATGGTTATGTTGTTTACTCTGTACGTATTGATGATGTTACTTGGAAACTGCTCTGAATCCCCTCGGGGAGATAGAGCGGTATATAATAAAGTTTTATTTATTATTATTATTATTATTATTATTATTATTATTATTATTATTATTATTACTTTATTCAAGATGAAACTGGCCCAATCCTTATCCCTGGCAACTGTATTTCCCCTCCACTTCTCACTCTTTCTCCAAACTCAATCAATAAATGCAGCACTTGCTAAGGGTACTGCCACCCATTTTGCCTAAACAATTAATAGGAGTTATATTAGCAGATTAAAATTTCATTGCATAGAAGCTATATGATGCTTATGGTTAAGCTACCTTTAGGTGCTACCTAAGGTTTTAGCAACATCACCTAAACATCCACAATATCTCCTAAATACAGATATATAATACTTCAGAAGGATCATTCTCCATATGAGACTGCTGTGCATTGTGACAATACGGATTTTATATAAAGTTTAATAATATCCCTTTTTCTTTCTTTTAGGTTCTTCATAATCAAGGAGAGCTTTCTACTTTACTATGCTGAAAATGAAAAAAAGAATTTTGAAAACCATCGTTACTTTAATATCCACCCTAAGGTACATACAGAGCATGCCCCTTGCTTTGAGCAGAGTAAAGCTAATTTAGTTCAGGCATGGGCAAACTTTGGCTCTCCAGGTGCTTTTGATTTCAACTTTTACAATTCCTAAAGTCCTAACAGTTAATACTATAACTTTGCTGTGGGGATTCTTACCAACTAATGCTAAACCTTTGGTGTCTTTCCAGGGTGTCATCCCTCTTGGAGGCTGTACTGTAGAAGCCAAGGATGAGCCTAGCATGCCTTACGCCATGAAAATCTCCCACGAAGATTTCCATGTAATGATAACCATTTTCCCCACCCTAATATATATATTTCCATAATAGAGTGAGTTGCTAACTGAATAGGGAAGAACATTCTGAGAGAAATACAGTGTGTCCAGATAAATATTTAGCGGTGGCGCAATGGGTTAAACCCTTGTGCCATCAGGACTGAAGACCAACAGGTTGTAGGTTTGAATCCGGGGAGAGCGCAGATGAGCTCCCTCTGTTAGCTCCAGCTCCCCATGCGGGGGCATGAGAGAAGTCTCCCACAAGGATGGTAAAACATCAAAGCATTCGGGCGTCCCCTGGACAACGTCCTTGCAGATGGCCAGTTCTCTCACACCAGAAGCAACTTGCAGTTTCTCAAGTCGCTCCTGACATGAAAAAAAGTTTCATTGATTCTTATCTCTGACAGATCAGAGCACATGATTGTGTTTTCGGTAAATATAGCCTCCTCAAAGGGAGCTAGTAGTCCAAGTACCTGAACTGCCCGAGACTCTATGTGTATTTACACTGCAGAATTAAGGCAGTTTGACACCACTTTAACTTCCATGGCTCAATGCTGCACGATCATGGGAGTTATAGTTTTATAAGGTCTTTAGCATTTTCTGCTAAAGAGTGCTGGTGCCTCACTAAACTACACATCCCAGGGTTCCATAGCATTGAATCATGGCTGTTGAAATCATGTCCAACTGCATTAATTCTACAGTGTAGATCAGTGGTTCTCCACCTGTGGGTCCCCAGGCATTTTGGTCCAGAACTCCCAGAAATCCCAGCCAGTTTACCAGCTGTTAGGATTTCTGGGAGTTGGAGGCCCAAACATCTTGGGACCCACAGGTTGAGAACCACTGGTGTAGCTAAACCCACAAAGAGTATCATTAGATAACCAGCTTAAATGCATTTACCAGTCATTCCCAGAGATTGCAAAAAATATATAGTTGCATGAATTTGTAAACAAACTGCATTTCCCATGTTTGCTCTGAAAAAGCTTTCGTATTTAAACTTAGTGTGAAACTGAATACAGGTCTTAAGTGCATACAAAGTTTCAGGATGTTATTAAAGTTTTTTTTAAAAAAAAAGTCTGTTTGTATAACAGGCTCAAAGGGTGTTTACAATTCCTCTTGTTTGTTTTTCATATGCAAGAATAGATGTAGCATTTGTTAGTTTTTCTTGATCACACTTGAGGAAAAATCCACTTAAAATCCTGTTTTTGCCTCCTGCAGAGGTCTGGGGTTTGTAGTTGAGGCTGTTAAAGGCCCCTTCCTAAACTACAAACTCCAGAATTCTGCAGGAGACAGAAACCGGATTTTAAATTGATTTTTTTCTCTAGTGTGAAGAGGCCTATATATAGTAGCATATCAACATTTCTCTTCTTAAATAGACACTTTTTTTCTCTTGACTTTTCTTTAAAAGGGAAACATTGTCCTAGCAGCAGAATCAAAGTATGAGCAGGCCCAATGGTTAGAGTTGCTACAGGAATCTGGAAAAGTGTAAGTATGTGAACAGACATGCCATTGTGCATGTCTTTCTTTTGAAATATTGTGATGCCACCACAGCTTTGAAATCACACATTGTGGTTATTATTGACACTCCATGCTAAAGTTACAGTTTGATGGTAGAGCATATGCTTTGTGTGCAAAGGTATGGTTTCAGTATTGTGAACTCATCAAGGAAGGCTGGAGAAGACTCTTCTCTAAGCCTCTGGAGAACTACCTCCAGCAGTCAGGGTTGGTTAGTGTTTTCTGGGTTTGACAATGTATGACTTCCCAGGATGCTGGACGATTTAAATATTTACTTTGCTTTGTCCCGGTCCCTTACAAACTTACTTGGGTCTCTTCCACACAATACAATTATAGTACTTTAATACTACTTTAATTGCTGTGACTCCATCTGATAGCATTCTGGAAGTTGCATTTCTTCATGAGGTAGAGAGAATTATTTCCCAGAAACCCTATAGAGTGGAACCATGGAAATTAAAGTGGTATCAAAGTGCTATAGTTGTCCTGCTAAAAAGCTGGGAAAACCAAAATTCTTCTTTAAAACACAGGTTAAAAACAATTTTAAAACTATTTGAACATAAAAAGTATGGTCGCTTACATAAGTATATGGCCCTACACAGTACATTGGTGCCTGCGGTTTGAATATTGCAATTTATCAGTGTATTTGAAGAAGTGGGTTAGAATGTATGAAAGCTCTTGCTAAAATAAATCTGTAAATTGAAAGGAGACCCCCTGGTGGCAATTAAAATATATCCAACTATATAGCCAAAGATCATAAGATGGCTTACAATAAAAGTAATGTAATGCAATAAATGTTGAGACCCCTAGTGGTGCAACGGGTTAAACCGCAACTCAGCGGTTCAAATCTGGGGAGCGGGGCTGAGCTCCCGCTGTTAGCTCCAGCTTCTGCCAACCCATCAGTTTGAAAATATGCAAATGTGATTAGATCAATAGGTGCCACTTCAGCGGGAAGGTAACGGTGCTCCATGCAGTCATGCTGGCCACATAACCTTGGAGGTGTCTACGGACAATTCTGGCTCTTCAACTTAGAAATGGAGATGACCGCCACCCTCCAGAGTTGGACATGACTAGACTTAATGTCAAGGGGAACCTTTATCTTTACCTTAAATGGAGTCCTTCTTCTAACCCTTCTTTTGATACTGAAACAAACTAACATAACTATCACTTTGAAGAAGACGATTCACCGTTAATCCTAGTAGATACAAATTGAGTTTTTAAATTTTTATTTCAATGGATTTCTGTTAAGAAACAGGAGTGCGATCATTTTCCAGCCTTTGCATACAGATGGCATTGACTGTTGGTCTTGAGACTTTCTCCATAGTGTGGTGCTAGTAATAAAACGAGCCCCTGATCCTTCAGCCTGCTGCAAACCATGACAAATAAACTCGGCCCAGTTCATGAGAATTCAGGCAGGGCAAGAACTAGTGAGGTTGATGGATGAAGGGGCTCTCCCAAAACAGATGGGGAACTTTCAGTGCCCTGTGGGAATAATCAGCTAAGCTGCTTAAATGTAGCTGTTTGTTTCATATCAGCAGTTTATACCCAGCTATAAAGGTTTTATTCCATCAGAGTTTACAGAACACAATTAAAAACAGCTCTCTCCTCCCAATAGGGTTTATTTTAGGTAATCCATGTGTGAATTCAAGCTAGGGAAGGAATATGACACTTGAGTGAAAATATGAGGATGGCACATTTATTGACCATCCATCAAAAGCAAACCAGCCATGAGACGTGGCATCATAGTATCATCACCCAGGCAGCAATCTGGCCTCACACACACTTCTGGGGGCTTCTGGTCCACTGAACAAAGTCAGATTGATTTAGGAGATAACATACATTGGATTGTACTGTCTGTAGTGGCATGTTTGAGATATCAGCTATTCCATGTTGGCCAAGGGCTATGACAAGCACTGTATTGTTCAGTTAAAGCTTGTGCCCACAGATCTCTTAAGCTACAATTTCCATCATTTCCAGCCAACTGGGCTTCATGGAAGTTGCAGCCCAACAAATCTGGAGGCACCAAGTGGCAGGAGGCTGATTTAATCAAATCAGGGACCTGGAAGAGAGTTGTGGGTGCCTAGTTAGTTCAAAGGCTCTTTAATTTACCCTTATCTCTCTCCAAAATCCAAATTAACTTATATTTAAAGGATTGCCTTAAGAGGTGGTGATCCCTGAAATCACAGAGCACAGTGAATATCACAACATAGTTGACATGTGGAGCCTTCCTCAACATTGTTTGTTTTCTTGTTAATGGGACATTTGAGAACTACCAAGAGCCAAACTAGATATGACTGGGAGGGTAGAGTCTAGATAATTTATCCTGCATTGATGACTTGTGGAATACAATCCTAAAACTCAACTCTGGACCTTAACCTTAACTATGAGCCCTGAACTGCATCATTCAAGTTTTGATCCTTAATGACTCTCTGTCAAAGAACCTCATACCACTGTAGTGTCTCCCAGCCTGGACTAGCCAGCAAAACCAATGGCGAAGGGTTATGGGAAATATATTCCAGGAAGAAGGCTAATTCTTCCCTAACCCAACTCCTGCAGGAGTGACATATCAGTTCCAGTCCTGCCACTTCTTTCTATGATCTCCCTACCTCTGCCCATCTGAGATGACTTATTACTCTTTACTTGGATTCTATTTTTGTTACATATTAATAGAATGAGAGTTTTTGGAATTGTAGTTGTTTGGATTGCAACTTTAAGAATCCCCAGCCATGAAAGGCATCGGCCTTGCTAGCTGAAGGAGTCTAGAAGTTCTAGTTTCAGAACTATCTCAGACAATGTTTGTACTCAATTCCCTTATGAACATTGGCTTCCACCTTTCCACCACTATCATGTGAACGTCAACGTGTTTGCCTATTTACAAACCAACACTGAACCGTACTAGACCTCAAGTATTTGCAAACTTGCTTACTCTGAAACCCTGATATGTAGTGTCCATACATCAAGACACAATAATTGAAGAGCACCTTTGCTGCTCAAGGAAGTTTAAAATAACTCTGAAGATTTGCTCTAGCAGTCATGCAGTTGCTTCGTTAGGTGAGAACTGGGAGGGTATGCCTGTGAAGGTCAAAGAACATTTTGAAAAATGTGGGCTCAGCAAAATAGTACCTTACACGCTGGCAATTTGCAGCAAAACCATTCATCTCCATGGAGTCATCACAAGCCCCATGAGGCAAGGAAGAAATAGAGGTACTGTAATGAAGACCTTAGATACGGGAGGTGTAATGGAAGCAGGGCTCACCACTCTGGGACTTTCAGGAAGACCCGGGTCTTTCCAGTATCAAATTAATTCAGCACAAAGCAGGGTTTTCCTGCTTTGTGTCAAAACCATTCATTTTTCCCTAAGACATCATCTGGACGCCCCAGGGGAAAATGTGAGAGGGCACACACTTTAGATGCTGTCTGGATGTGCCTCCAGAGTGCTGACTGATTATTACGATTTGTCACACAAAAGAATGTCTGGAGTTGCAAGAACCAGAGGTTCCAGACTTTGAGTCCCCTTAAACTGAACGAGAAAATCAAAGGGACACTCTGAATTAAGGTTGGCCCTCCAGATCAACTGATTCTGCATCATGGATTGAACCATCCATTGTTTTTTTTAATTGAAAAGACAAACTTAATTTTGCCACTTTATATAATGGACACCATTTTACTGCACCATTGCATGTAATGGGACTTTAGTGTCCATGGATTTTATATCTATGGGGAGTCCTGAAACATAGTTTTTACTGCCCTTTTACTCTATAGAGAGAAATGAAGTCCCTGTTCCATATTGGCCATTTAATGTCATAATATCCCAATCTTTAGGGATATTTAATAAGGACATTTAATATAATGCCAAGTTTTTAAAACTTTGTGGTTTTGTATGCATTACAACTGTACCCTTGCTTTGCTTTTGATACGATAAATAAAATCCCAATCTTATCTGTTTTCATTAATAGTAGTGGAGCAGACAGGGTTGCCAACACTGACTGTTCTTCAGAGAACAAGAATTTCCCTCAGTATTTTAAATAATAAAAAGAAACTTAGGATTTGAGATATCCTCCTCACTTATCTAACATCTGCCACAAGAATTGTTCTCGCAACGCATTGGAAAACAGAAGAAACCCCATCGAAACAAGAATGGCTAACAAAAATTATAGAGATCATGAAAATGGACTTACTAACTCAACAACTAGCTCACAATCAAAATAGAACTAGAAAAGAGACGGACTGGTCACAGCTAACCAACTTTCTGAAACAAGAGAAGATGAAGTTTATGTTATGAATAGAACAAAGAACAATTCAACTATATGGAGCAGACAACCAACTTAGGAAAGAAACAGCAAAGAAGAATCCCAACAATCCTGGCCCATGGTTTAGAGCAAGAAAGAACTGTAAATAAACGCACTGCCCCTTCCCTAACCTTCTCCTTTCCCCCCCCCTTTTTTTTCCCCTTCCTCTCCCTCCTTTCCCCTCCCTATCCAGTTTTCTTTTTAACTCGCAGAATAAAATCAATAAATATATTTTTTTAAAAGAAACTTAGGATTTCCAATCTTTCCGTAATTCCCAGGTACTGAAGTAGGTAAGTACATAAAATTTTATAGAAGGGTATTTTTAGAGGAGGGCCATTATTATTCTTTCATGTGTTGTCATTCATGTTTGTTTTTCAGCACCTGGAGAAATGCTCAGTTGGGAGAAGCCATGATCGAGAGCCTGGAAGCTCAGGGACTCCAGCTGGCCAAGGAGAAACAGGAATATTTAGGTTGGGACAAAGAAATATGGGGCCTTCATAAATCACCTATTAGGACCACTAACATTAGGACTATTGCCCTCTTTTAGCATTGATATAGGAACATATTGCACAAATCCTTGCCCCCATTGTTGTTTTTATTGTGTGCCTGCAAGTCATTTTTGACTTACAGTAATCCCAAGGTGAACCTATCTCAGGGTTTTCTGGGACAGAGAGTGTGTGACTCATCCAAGATCACACAGTGGGTTCCCATGATCGAGCAGGGAATCGAACCCTGGTCTCCAGAGTTGTAGTTCAACACTCATACCATGCTGATGTACCATAGATGGAAACCAAGACACATGTGGCCAAGTCAAGCAGCATTGTGTTCAAGATGGCAAAATTATGAATGATTTTGCTAGGAGAGGCTATAGCAATTCGCTTTTGCTCAAGTTTACAGGAAGGAGCAGGACCTCCCCCCCCCCCCAAAGTAAATTGAGTACAAACTCCTTCTGCGCTTTGAACACAGTCCTCAAATGTAATAGGATGCGTAATTAATCAGGACTTTCCTTGCCAGATCAAGAAGTTGGAGAATATGTTTTCCTCAACCCTTTTTTACCTGGCAATTAATTTCCAGACCCAATTCAAACTACTGGTTTTGTCCTGTAAAATTTTCTGCAACTTCAGCTCTCAGTGGCCGATCAGGAAAACTTTGTTGAGTCAACATGGGAATTGTCCAAGAAATATGAGTAAAGATACCACTTTCTTGAATGTCTTGCATAAGGGCATTCAGGACTAGAAATTCATTTCACAGTCATTTGATTTCTTTAGCTACTGTTTGGCTGAGGAGGCCACAATCTTTCTACCTTTCAAGACCTTACTAATGAGCAGTTCATTCAGCATGTTCTAATAATAAGCCATTGGAGCCGACAAAAATAGAGCAGAGTTAATTAGCATCTCAGGGGCCCAGGCTGTTCCTAGATTCAGAGATATTCTTCTGTTTGTGATTGTAGCCTCCATATTAATTTAAAGAAGAGGAGGGGAATATTATTAGAGAAAATGATTGAGCAGGAATCTATAGACCTTTTCACAGTGTACAGCGGAATCCTAAGGTTTGCAGTATAGGGAAAGAGAGACAACACGGTGCAGTGGTTTGAGTGCTGGACTATGATTCTAGAGACCAGGGTTAATTTCCCTGCTCCATCATAGAAATTCACTGGAATGACCTTGGGCAAATCATACTCTTGGCCCTGGAAAATCCCATGATGGAGTTGGTTTATTTATTTATTTATTTGCTGTATTTATATACCACCTTTCTCACCACTGGGGGAACTCAAGGCGGGTTACAACATACTAACGGCAAAAATTCAGTGCCAACCTACAGTACACAAAAAGAAATCATAACAACTAATTAGGGTTGCCATAAATTAGAAACAATGTGAAGGCATGCTGCTGCCACCACAATTTTAGCAGTTTCATCAGTGCATCATAAAAACCCTGATAGGAAGGTTATAAAGTTTAGCATCGTGATGAGGAAGACCAAGTTATGGTCGCCATTTTTTCCCCCTGGCAACAGATGAAGTCAAAGAAAATATTTAAATAGCCTTGGGTGCCTTCCAGTTATGTCTGATATCAACCCCCATCTGTCCCAGCAAGCATGATCAATAACCAAGGATAGTTGGGAACATCTGGAGGGCACCAGGTTGGGAAAGTTTGCATTAAAACAATCTCATTATTGCACAATCTCAGATCAACATGCAGTTCAGAACAAGAAGCAATGTTGCTTTTTTCAAAGTTCATTGCAGTGTGGGTTCAATGTGCTTCTGTGAGTCTTTCTGTTTTTGACTGGTATCATTTCTGTTTGTTTGTAGATAAATTGATGGAAGAGACAGAGGAGCTCTGTCTGCAAAGGGAGCAAAAAGAGGTTTGTTCATCCCATTTCCCTTCTTTTGTTTAATTCAATGTATTCTTAATATTCTTAATGGCAGGACTTTTACAGAATGGCAGACAATTAGATAATGTTTGCCATCCCAACCCCATTCACGTGGGTTTGAGATGCAACCCATTGCTTTCCAAATGTGCTGGCTAAGGGATGATGGAAGGGCACCAGTTGGAGAAACCTGCTTTAGATATATTTGTGGGAATTGTGTTGTTGTGTGTCTTCAAGTCATTTTGACCCATGGCTACACTAAGGTAAATCCATCACAGAGTTTTCTTGGCAAGATTTGTTCAGAAGAGATTTGCCATTACCTTCCTTTGACACTGGGAGAGTATGACTTGGTCAAGTGCAGCCAGTGGGCTTCATGGCCAAGCAGGGATTTGTGTCCTGGACTTCAAAGTTGTTGCCCGAAGCTTAAACTATTGCACACTAAGCAAAGTCTTTTGAATAGAGCCCATTCTATTTGGAAAAAAAATATACATAACAAGTGCTTCAATTAGTGAACAAATAAATGGAAATAAATACAAGATTAATGCTGTTCTTCAAACTTTTCCCCTTTTTTATCATCTCAAATAAATCTGAACAAAAATGTCTCATTTAAAAATAAACATTTTAAAAAATAAAAATAAAATTTAAATAGTTGCAACCTTCAAACAGTAACTAATGTAACTATTTTTAATTGTAGAAATTATATTCTTAATTTTTGTGATGCAAATTTTAAACATATGTCTGTTTTTATTTTTGTAAACCACTAGGAGTACTGGATTGGGACAAAGCAAGGAGGATAACAGTAGATATAAAGAGTCATGTCTGATCACCATGTTGTGTGTTTCTTGCTAGTTACAGGCACACACTGTGATTGTGTGATTGGCTTTGCCTTCTCTTTGCTTTAGTACATAATTTTCACAGACTGCAGTCATTGCATAGGGATGGTCATATGAGTTTGGTGTTGCATTCCACATTGAAAGACTTTCTGTGGAGGAATTTTTCATGATTGAAACAGTCCTGAAAGAAGTGTAAGTGAATTCTGTGGCTCCTTGGATTTTGCCTGAATTTTCTTCTTTTAAGGCTCTGGAACGTCTCAACCAAGTCTTGGAAGCAGAGAAGCAGCAATTTGAGGAAGTGGTGCAAGATTTGCGGGTGGAACAAGACCAGATTAAACGGTAATATATCCATGCCATAAAGAGCTCTCCATTATTTTTTAAAGAAATGGATCCTGCTATTGGCAGTTTAGGATAGATCTTAGGATAGATCTTTGCTTAAAATCCTTGTCTTGGAACCAGACTTGTATACATCAAAGTTTTTCTAGTGCTAAAAGAAAAGGATGATGTGAATTTCTATTAGTTCTGTTTCTCTAAAGCATGGGAAAGTTTCCTTCTTTCCTTCCTTCGATCACTTCCTTCGCTTACTTGTTACCTTTGTTTGCTACTTCTCTACTGCTTAAACTTGTTGTATGACCTTCAAGAAATCTCCAGTGTATGGCAACCCTAAGGTAATTCCTTGGCAAGATTCATTCAGAGAGGGTTTGCCATTCTCTCCCCTGATGCTGAGGGAATGTAATTTACCTAAGGTCATCCAGTGGGTTTCAGTGGCCAAGTCATAACTTGAATCTTTGGATTTCTGGAAGAAAGACAGCATACAAATGTAACAAGCAAATGCATAAAATAAAATAAACCCTAGTCCAATACTCAAACATCTACACCATTGGTTCCCAACCTTTGGTCTTCCAGGTGTTTTGGACTTCAACTCCCACAATTCCTAACAGCTAGAAAGTTGGCTGGGATTTCTGGGAGTTGAAGTCCAAAACACGTGGAAGACCAAAGGTTAGGATCCACTGGTGCAGACGTTTGAGTGTTGGCCTACACCATGTTGCCTCTCTTACTGTTTAAGCAGTATCTCAAAATGTTCTACTGAATTTTTACATGGTTGCAGTGCTAGAAAATTTTGAACTGAAGGAATATTTCATGTGAAAGTGAAGGGTTGCTTATTTGTGGGTTGTCAAATTCCGGGTGACAATGTGTGTTTTGGAGCCTTCTATTGTGAGAATAGCCATGCACAATGCAATACTTATAGTAGGACTATTTAGGAAGAAGGCTGAGATATTAGCTTTCAGAGGTATGTATATAAAGTAGAAATTCCTGTATCAAGGGCTTTTGAGTATACAGACCATCTTTTGCATTTCTATATGTTGTGTAGATGAGGCATGGGAATCTTCCTAGAGAAAGGCTGTAAATCTAATAGTAATATCAATATTCTGACAAGGTTCTGACAATATCCTTTATGTTTTTCACAGAGAGCTGGAAATGACAGCCCAGTCCCTCAAAGGAGTGGAGGAGGAAAAGACAGGGCTTCGAAATCTGACAGAGACATTGCAGAAGACACTGGAAGTACGTAGGTACCTGATTATGTTCTTGAGGACAGCATTCAGTAATTGGTTTTCTCTGAAACCTTTTAACATATAAGTGAAACCACAAAATCTTTCAGTGTGAAGTGCTCCAGTTCAGGAGTCCAGTCAGCTTGTTGTGCCTCCTTCTTGAATAATCTATTTCATCAGCACCATCAAGTTGTAGCTACATGTGCCAAAGTAATCCAGAGAGCTGTACTGCAAAGTAATCCAGATGCAGCATGGGATTGTCCCCAGAGCCCTCCAGTATCCAGATGTCTGGGCAGGCTGAGAGTGCAGTTGTGTTGCTTCCGCTGTTTCACCAGCCAAAAGCAATTCCCGGCAGAATCTTGATGGGGATGCAATATTCACTACTCAAAAGTGCCAGAATCAGTCCAGAACTTCCCGGAAGTTGCCATCACCCTGGATTAATAGCTGGAAGCAGCACTTCTGCTGTAAAACCAGCTGTACATCATGTGGGCTCATTGCAACAGTTACATATCTATTTCATTTGGCCCAAACCAAACCCTCTTCTCTGCTCATTGAGCACACACAGTTAATACTGGGCTTATATTAAGAGTGTTTCCTTTCTTAGTTTTTCTTGCTAGTTTTTGTTTTGAGGGAAAGGTATTTATGGGAGTCTTGGGGTTCCTTTAAGCCCATGGATCTTTCTCTCTTGTGCATTCATGATATTTTGATTACATGAGAATTTGCACTTGTAGAATTAATTTGTCTTTAGCGCATCTGTAGGATTAGCTTTTATATACAGCATGGGAACTGAGACCTTTAGAAGTCTTAAGAATGCAAATATTTCCTTCTGTAACCATTATGTTGTTAACTGAGGTGCCAAAATCTTTTTGACAGCCCTTGGTAGTGCTATGTATACTGAATTCTTATTGACAGTGCCATCTGCCACTGTGCCTCAAGAAGGTAAAATTCCCAGCCCAGCCTTACCTGGCTCCTTTTCTCAGTAACTTCATGTGTGAACAAACATAAAAAGAAGCCTCTCTACCATAACCAACCTAAGAATTTTAACTTTTACTGTTTTTCATTAGTCAAAGTATACTTTTCTTCCCTTGAAATTCTAGAAATGTTTTCAAAGCTGAGCATCCTTTATTTGTTTTTCCAAACTCAGAAATATTCCAAAATCCAAAATCATCCACATGGGTCGCTTTTGGTTTCTGATGGGTCAATGTACATAAACTTTGTTTCATGCATGAAATTATTTAAAATATTATATATAAAAAAACTTCAGGCTATGTGTATAAGAGGTATATGAAATATACATGAATTCCTTATTTAGACTTGGGTCCCATTGCCAAGATTTCTCATTATATACAGATATGCAAATACACATATACCTAAATCCAAAAAAATCCAAAATCCAAAACATTTCTGATCCGAAATATTTCTAATTAAGGACACCCAATGTGTACTCTATTTTGCATTTCATCATGCAAAACATTTCCTGTATGGTGTCCTTTCAAGCATTTTCAGCTTCTGTTTGGTATGATACATGAACATTTAACTGTTAAATGCAGACAAGTAGAGCCACAAAAGTGGAGTCCAGGGATCAAATGTGGCCTACCAACCACATTATACCCCTCTTTGGGAACTACCTGAGAGATAAAAATTGGGCAGCTAATTTTTTCCCCTCAATACGATAATGAAAAGCTATATTTCTGTTTCATAGGCCAGGTGTCAAAGGCAGAGAAGTCTTGCCTGGGCAATGTGTTTGTTTTGAAGTGTGTTTGAAAGGGTAATCAATTCAAGGATGAGGGATGGGAAGCTGAGAGAAGAAAAAGCAATGTGACCACTGCTTAATCTGTTTGTGTGGGCTCTAAGGAACTCTCCCTGGAAAAACAGCGGACTCTTGAAATGCTGGAAGAGAAGGAAAATCAGCTGCAGCCTATGGCCAGCCCTAGTGAGCAACCTGATGCTATGGGTTGTCTGCAGAACAGCTTACACCAAATTGAAGAAAAAATGCACCAGTTGCTGGAAGAGAAGCTCTTGGCAGAGAAAAGGTGAGAAAGCAAGAGATATTCATGTGCTCTAGATGGGCAGGGTTGCCAATTTATTGCAACTGGGGTATGCTCTTTACTGTTAAATGCCCTGTGGATGCATGCATTAGATGAGGGGCTGTGGACATTGTTCAATTATAGCTCTATTATTGCATTCTAATGGCTAGGTTTCACCCTATAGAATCTCAAGGTTGGCAATTTGGGATAGGGCATTTAAAATTCTCAGACAGAAGGTGTAATGCCTCACCAAACTACCAATCTCAGGATTCAATTGGATGGAACCATAGCAGTTAAAAGTAGAATATTGGTGCTATAACTGTGTAGTGTGAACAGGTCACAGAATAGGGCAAAATGTGGTCAGCAGGCCACATACAATCTCTAGCATTTTATGACTTCCAGTATATTTTCAACATGTTTTATGGAGGGCTTGGGTCATGTTAGTGTCAATATTTTGCAAAAATGTTTTTCCTAAAATGTCCTGTGGGGACCAAAAATATGGTGGAAAGGCCCCTATGCCATTTAGAGACACTTTGGAGTGGAGGAAAGTTTTAGATTTTTTTTCTTGCAGAGGTGTGGCATCAGATGCAGCCATCCACAGCGTCATTAGAGTCAAATGCTTCTCCGTTACCAACAGTTGCTCCTTCTTGCCCAAGATAAAATTTGGGGAAGATCCCTTTTTAATCTGCAATCAGTAGCCCTGCTTACTTGAAAACTTTAGGAGCCTTAGCTCAAAGAACTAAAATTTCTAAGCCTTGTTTCTAGAGTTACTGGTATATGATTTTTTAAAAAGTTGGTCGTAGGAGAACAGGGGAAGATCTAGATTAGGGGTCCTCAAACTACAGCCCACGGGTCAAACCTGGCCCCTCGGGGGCATTTATCCAGCCCGCCGGATGCACTGGGTTGCCACGCCCCAAAGGGATGCCCCTCGCAAGAGCAGCAAGAAATTTTTAAACTTTTAATGGCAGGGAATAGAGGTGAACAGAGCCAGAAATCTGTGGTGTGCAAAGGAGGAGTCAAGTGTCTTGAGGAAATGACACTGCCTCCTGCTTCTGCTAGGAGGGACTTCCGTTTGGTTGTTGCTAGGTAGCTGGAGGTGTAGGCATGAGGGAGTGTTGGGCACAGCTGTGAGTGGTGTCTGAAGGAGGAGCAGGAGGCTGGGGAGAAGGAAGAAGCTGAGCCGGGCTCCCCATGGACCTTACAGGTGGAGCGGCACCGTCTCCACTCAGCCCTCCTGGCTTTGGCCTCCCATTGTTAAGCATTAAAAACATGTAAAAGAAAGGAAGTGAAGGACTTCTGGTCTATTTAGCTCTGGATGTGTTTTGATAGCTTTCCATTGAATGTTTAAAGCAGGCATGGGCCACCTTGGGCCCTCCTTGTGTTTTGGACTTCAACTCCCACTACTGGCTGTTAGGAATTGTGGGAGTTGAAGTCCAGAACACAAGGAGGGCCTAAGCTGGCCCATGCCTGCTTTAGAGAATAGCAATTCTGTTTGTAGATTTGAAATTGTATTGAAATGTAAGCTACTTCGGCCCCTTCCACACAGCTGTATAAAATCCACACTTAGGTGGCTTATATGGCAGTGTGGACTCTGATCATGCAGTTCAAAGCAGATATTGTGGATATCTGTTTATCCCAGATTATCTGGCAGTGCAGACTCATATAATCCAGTTTAAAGCAGAAAACCTGGGATCAGATCCTGGGATATAGGGCCTATCTGGAAGGGCCCACAATCTCCTTGTGGAGACAAAAAGTAGTGTATAAATAAACATAATAATAATTGTAGAACAGAAATCTGTTCTTGGTTTGAAAGTGTTATTTTCTGTTTAATTGTGTGGCCCTTCTGGGGTTCTCCCAAAATGAATCCTATTATGCTCCATTTTCTGAAGTATGCATATTATTGTGCATTCAGCTTTGTAATATGTAACATTGCACACATCTCTGTGTAAAATACATATTTTGGTGCCTTTAAGTACATAAACTCATCCCATACATTTCAAGTTTTTTTGCTTTAGTAGTTTTGCATGTTCTTCCTCATTAATAACTTCTGCCGCTCACAAAACTCTAATGCTAAGTCATATGTGTTCTAGCGTTCAACTGTGAAATATTGGAAGGTATGTTATTGCATCCTGGCAAACCAAAAATGATTAGGATGAAGACTAATTCTCTTTTCCTTCATGGATTTGCAGAATGAAAGAGAATGAAGAGCGTTCCCGAGCCCTGGAGGAAGAGCGGGAATTTTATTCTTCTCAGTCACGAGCCTTGCAGAATTCACTCTCAGAGCTGACAGCTGAGAAGCAGAAGACTGAGAGAGACCTCAAGGTGATGTTAGCAGAGAATGAGATGCCAAACTGCCTTTCATATTGAGCTTAGAAAACCAACCTAACACTCCTCCCTAAGCAACTTGTCGAAATTCTGATCTCAACCTCTCTTCTGCTACTTCCCCAAGAGCTGAACATAGTCTATATTTTAAATTATATAATTTATTTACAAAGAGAAGAATTTCACAATAAAAGTAATAGAGCAAGAAAACAATGTCATCCGTAGAGAATCAATAATTTAGGTAAGCTTCCAAATATATCGCAAATGAAGCTTATCTTTCCTCAGAGGCATCACACATTTCCAGTTGCACTGTTTGTAATGAGAATTTTCTCAGACTTTAATATGTTAATTCCACTTAATTGCAAATCCCTCTAATTATCCAATAATAAAACTAGGTGATTTTTAGTGATGTTTGTTTACATACTTCATTTTCCCATTGCAATACAAATATTAAGGTAAAATAAAATAGATGTAGATATATTTAGAAAACAAACAAAAAAATTATCATAATCATAATCAGCTGATGAATAAAAATAACAGCATAGTTTTATAATATAATCATGCCAAAAACTTGGAAAAACTCAAACAATTTTAACTGACGCTATCATCATACTAGAGAAAAAAATCCACCCAAAATCTGGTTTCTGCCTCCTGCAGAATTCTTGGATTTATAGTTTAATGAGGCTGTTAAAGGCTCCTCCCGAAACTACAAACCCCAGAATTCTGCAGGGGACAGAAACCTGATTTTAAGCAGATTTTTTCTCTATGTGAGGAGGCCACAGTAAAAAAATAGACTTGAGGCAAGAAGTTTAGGATGGGCACTTTTACCAAAGTCATTTTGTGTCTGGTAGAAAACAACAAAATGCACACAAGACAATAAGGAGCAAGGTCCTTGTTATCTTTGTGCCCTTGGACAACAAAAGAATAGCACTATAACCACCATGTCCTATGGAGTCCTGGGTTTTGTAGCTTGGTGATGAACTAGAGCTCTTTGGCAGAAGGGTCTTCATATCCCTCCCAAAAATGCAAATCCTAAGATGGCAGTTGAAGTGGAATCACGGTGCCGTCGTGGCATAATGTAAAAGAGTCCATGATATTGTGGTCATTTTCTAGTTTTGTTGGTTGGTTTTTGAACAGTCCTCTCTCCTTCCTCCTTAGGCAGAGGTAAAGGTGCGGATGGACCTAGAGAAACGCTTGCAGGAAGCTGAGGAAGCCCTCCAGAGTCTGGAGCAAGGCCTGAATTGTAAGCACCGGAACAAAGAAAAGGAGGAAAAAATGAAAGCAGATGTCAGCAATCTCAAAAGTAAGTGAGCAGCAGGACTAACCTTTGCCATCTTTTAGATGGGCTTTTAATCTACTGAATGTTTAAATTGTGCTTTATAGTCTATTTATTATGCATATTGCGGGTTTCTAATTTTTAAAATAATTTTCATTAGATGTGTTGTGGTTTGTTGATGATGTTTATATTCTATGGTTATGTAATATTTTTTGTCTGCATGTTATTTGACGCTTTGAGTCCTGTTTTGGGAGAAAAACAGTATAGATATAAACAAAATAAAGAAATAATATTTCAAACTACTGGGTAGTAGATTCCACAGCTGGTGCCATGATCTTGAAAGAGGAGTGAGACTCACCCAGTCTTCCCAAACTGGCATGTTTTTGGTTACTTTCAGCTGTAGCTGTCATCATCACCCACCAGGATGATAATTGATGGCGCTGGTAGGGCATAGTGGGAATTACATTCAGTATCCTTTAAAGCAGTGGTTCTCAACCTGTGGGTCCCCAGGTGTTTTGACCTACAAACTCCCAGAAATCCCAGCCAGTTTACCAGTTGTTAGGATTTCTGGGAGTTGAAGGCCAAAACATCTGGGGACCCACAGGTTAAGAACCACTGCTTTAAAGTTTCCTAAAGTAGAAAGGTTGACTGAACCAGACAGACCTAACAAACCCCAGCCAGGATGGTATACACTGAGACTGAAGAGATGTTGAGCATTCCTTCAGCAGTTTACCAATTTGTAAAGCACAGCACAATATATCCTAACAAACAAGTGAGAGTGGGGGAAGTGTACGTGTGAACATTATAACTGAAGGCCAAGCTAGCCATGACATGAAATACATCTTTGCACTTCTAACTTGCATTTCTATTAAAGAAGCAATTTGCTGATGCCTGGATATACAGTGATTGTTCTTGTGAATGGATTGGATGAGGAATTTACTGTTTCCCTCTGTTGCTTTGTCCTTTCTGTTGACAGTGCTTCATGGGATAATGGAGTTATATGCCAAATTGTCTATAGGGCCAAATGTTCATCTCTCCTGCCATAGGTTCAGTGTCACAAAAGAAAATACTGTGCATATGCTTGGAGGAACACTTCCATTATTTCACATATTCTAAGCATATTTTCTATGTTGAAATGAGAAAACTGTGATTCATAAGCTTCATGAAGTCCCCGATAGCTAAACCTCAGTCTCCTTAGGATATTCCCCAATGCCATAAACATCCCCCTTGGGTTATTTTTTCCCTTCCAAATGGTCAGAGTTGCACCCACCACAAAACAGTGGATTTCCTCTCTCCAATCTCCAAACAAAATGGGATGCCCATCATGTCACTTCTGGGTTTGTCTTTGATCCAGAGAGATGGCCTCTAGAAAAATGAAAATTTGCCCCCAAGTCTGACTCATTTACCTACACTGCCCTTTCTAAAGCTGAATGCTGCTAAAAACTCTGCTCTGATTCCTATCCCTACATGCCCCCCCCCCCCCCCCAATGCCAAAATTATCTTGTGAGTGATTTAAGTAAGTAGAATTTGAGACAAGAACAAAGAGTACCTCCTTCACTGCCTTGGGGAATTTCTGTCCCCAAAACCTCTTCGAGGCAATTACTGAATAACCATGACATTCTCTTAACTGAGAATAATTTGTAAAAATTCAATATGTATTCTCCTATTTTATCTCCCCGTTTTCTTATGGGTATAAGATTCTGAGGGAAAAAATTAGACATTATAACAATGCTTAAGAAGCCAACATTGTTGCCCCAAATGTATCCCAGAGGAGGAAGGGCCCATGTTCTATGATATCATAAATCAAAGTTAAATTCCCACAGCAAAGTTTTGAGCCCCTGGTGACTCAATGGGTTAAACCCTTGTGCTGACAGAGCAGTTCGAATCTGGGGAGAGCGGGTTGAGCTCCCTGTGTTAGTTCCAGCTTCCCATGCAGGGACATGAGAGAAGCCTCCCACAAGGATGGTAAAACATCAAAAACATCCAGGCATCCCCTGGGAAATGTCCTTGCAGACAGCCAATTCTCTCACACCAGAAGCTACTTGCAGTTTCTCAATTAATTCCTGACATGGAAAAAAAAGCAACATTTGAAGATATTTGGAATAAAAATCTCAAAATACAGAGCATTTAGAATTACAGTTTAGTCACCCAAATAAAATGAGCAGGCCAAATTATCAAGGGAATGCAGCTATGTCAAATATAAGAGTTCCAGGTGTGAACAATTTTCAGAGTGTATTGTCAAAGGCTTTCAGAATCTCATAGTCTTACTCATTACAATGACAGAAATGTGTGGATTGAAGGAATTCTCATCTGGGTGGTCAGTGCCATCCTATGGCTCTTTCCCATTGCTATAGCCATGACCTGGTGTCCTCCAGATTAACCATGTCTCCTTTGGGTGCCATCTCCCTGCAGAATTCTTTGAGGAGTGCATCCGCAATGCCGAGTTGGAAGCCAAGATGCCCGTCATTATGAAAAACTCTGTATATCTCCACAAGGCTGCCACCCGCAGGATAAAAAGCTGCCGATTTCACCGCAGGAGATCCAGCAATTCATGGAATGACTGTAAGTACTGAGAAAAATAAATCTTAATTTACAGTAGATTGAGCAAACAGCTCAAAGTCACTCAGTGAGTTTCATGGCTCAGTGATTGACTAGAATCTTGATTTAGTCCAGGGAATCAAAATGTGGTTTCCAAGTTCCCTTCTAACACTCTAGCCCCATTACATCTGGCCTGAGAAGGGATTCTTCTGAGCCCCAGGCTTCTCTCTACATAGTTATTTGTCCTGAAGGTGATTATAATGGGGGGGGGGGGGAAGTGTGGTGGTAGTGCTGGGGGAATTAACAAGATGTGCACGGCCTACGGGCTTTCTATTTACTTATTTATAATCTTCCCTCACACAATATCCAGAGTGCTCGAAGTGCTTTGGAGCAGTAAAATACCCAATTACAACAGATGGGTTGAAAACCAAGCTTTATGAGGGAATGCAACAGTTTAACCTGGAGGAGAAAATATTTTAAGTTGATGTCATAGCCACCCTCCTGTGTTTGAAAGGCTGTCGAGGAGAAGATTAAAAAGTGTGCTCTGCTGTTCCAGAAGACCCCAGTCACTGGGTTCAAATGATAAAAAAGAATGTTTTATTTAACTAATTTAATTGACAGTAAGAGCTCCTTTTACAGTGGTGTATGCTAACTCAGAGAGTGTTAGATTCTTCTTCTTTGGAGGGTTTTTAAAGTTGGATGGCGATCTGTCAAGGAAGCTTTAGGTGCAGATATCCTGCATAGGGCTGGACTTGATGAACTCTACAATTCTATTATTTTTATGTGCCAACACAATGATAGCATCAGCCCTGAGTGTAAATTAATGTAATGTTGAAAAAGATTGTCCAGCACACTCAGATTTCAGTCATGAAACCCGGGTGTAGAATCATTTCTGGTGGGTTAATATGATTGTGTAAATTGGTTTCTGCTCCACTATATTTGCACAAAAGTCTGTATATTGAGAGGCCTCAGGCACTAAGCACCATAGCATAATGGCCTCTTATGTCTGCTGCTCATATTTAGCCTTGAGTCTGGTGCAGAACTCCAGCTACCGTGTGTTGTTTTGTTTTCAGTGCGCCAATCACAATCATTCATGTACTCAGAGGCGGAAAATATTGAAGATCTGAAGCTAGCTGCCAAAAAGTTGAGTGAGGACCAGCACTTCCGGGAAACCATCTATAAAATCATGATTTCACGTCAAGATTCCTCCTTGGGCAACAAAAAGTGAACCTTTCCTTCTCTTGTTCACATGGAGAATCTAAACTCAGCTTGCAATCGTTCCACTCTGTAAAGGCCAAATGACTGTCTATGCTTGGAAGCAGAGGTGCACCCTTTCTGTGTAGCAAGCAGTGAATGAATCATTTCTCACCGGGGAGGGTTGTGGTTCAGTTACTATTTCCAAGTGAAGATGAGCTGTTTCTCCTGGCACATGTGGTTGCACTACCATCACATCAGCTAATTCTATTCCCATTTAGATCTGCTTTGGCAAGATTATTGAAGGTTAAGGTGAATGTGAGCCATTTAGTTGGCTGAGATCACCCTTCCCCAACTCAGTACTCTCCGGATGTGTTGAATAACAATTCCCATCATCCACAAAGAGAAGAGATCAGATTGAGAGAGAGGCTGATTTAAGAAAATGCCCAACTTCTTCTTTTAGAACAGATGCAGATATAGATGCTACTGGTAATTAATAATTTTCTAAGGCAGATAACAAACTATACAAAATGCAAGCTATATTCTTATGCTTCTTTCATCTGTACATTAAATAGACTGCTATTCAGGTGACTATTTGAAGAATAGCTAGCTGTATAAATCTGAGTTTGGTTTCAAAATCCATATACATGTCACAAATATGTGCAATGAATGTATTACTATTTTATATTCCCTATTTTCTCTAAGTGGTAACAACACTCTTTCAAAAAGCCAATTTCTCATGGAAGATTTATGGCTTATTAATTGTGTTTGCTAAGAAATATGCAAACTGAGCAGAGTAGGAGGGAGCACATTAAGATAGTGCTACATGTGAGAGGTTTCTTTTTTTAAAAAACAACAGTATGCATTTCACAGTTGCCAGATGAAACATAGGATAGAGAAACTGTTCCTTTAATGGTTGTGTAGAAGAGGGAATTTGGCAGAGATAAACAATTATTAGACGGATAGGAGCCCCTTCCCTCACTGCATCTAACAATCCTAATGCTCTTGGAGTTTTGCCCAAGGCTCTGTCTTTGCCCAAGGCAAAACCTTCATGGTTTATTAACTACCTACATTTGAGTACTTCTTTTTATTGCCTTCACAACACTTCCCCTTACTGAAAAGTTACACCCAATACTGGCAGGTCCTTCAAAGCATTTGGGGGATGCAACTATTCATTAACCAACTTATCCAAAAATTGAGGTCAAGGACTGGGAACACAGCAAAAGAAAAGAATAAAGAGAAGAACCTTCCCCCTTTTCCTTTATACATGCAGCCATTTTCTCCAAAAGCATGGCTTAACTCCAAAACCAGGTGCATGCTTTTTACTTGCCTCATTTCACAACCAATGCTTGTTTAAATTAAGGTGGGCTTTCTTTTGCCATCAACCAGTCTGAGTACTGGGATAAGATCAGCAAATACCACCCCGATGGCAATGTGTTCCCTGACTCTCAGAAGTTATCCAGCCCTGGATTTGGTGTGTGATCCTCTCTTCACTCAATGCAGATAGGTGTCATTTCTTAACAAGGCCTTGCCCTTTGACTGACCTACTCCCCAAGCAATATAGCAAACTAATAATGATGATATCTAGCTAAACTGTTCTATGTCTTTCCTGCCTTTACTGTTTTAAGGGACATATTCAGAAGAACCAGAACAGAGACATAAAGTTGCAGGCCTGGATGTGATCAAATTCAAATAAGTATTGTATTACAGTAATGCTAAATACCCTAAAGGTGCCACATTTGTGTCTGATCTTGGAAGTTAAGCAGGGTCATCTCTGGCTAGTGTGTGGATGAGAGGCTACCAATGAATGCCAGGAGCTGAAGACTACATTTCAGAAGAAGGAACAGCAAAACCACTTCTGAGTGTTTTCACCCAAGAAAACCATATGAAATCCATATATCACCATATGTTGATTAGCAGTGTGTGCTGACTGCCTGTGGTCCCTTAAACTTTGAATATATTATTGTTCAGGAAACACAATAGCTTTGAAAAGCTCCCTTAGATATGTACTCTTCAAGGCCTTTTTGTAGATTAGTGCAGCATAATGGTCAGTGGCAAATTGCACAGCTGCTGATCTCAATTTAATTTTGCACTCATATTATTGATATCAGTGGTTAGAAACAAAAATTATTCTGGAACAGTTTACCTGTCCGAATGTATCTCCCTTTATGAACCAGTTTGAGCATGAAGATCTGCCGGGGAGGTCCAGCTCTTAGTCCCACCGCCTTCACAGGTGCAACTGGTGGGGACAGGGCCTTCTCGATGGTGACCTCTCAGTTGTGGTACTCCATCCCCTGTGAGATCAGATTGGTCTCCTCCCTCCTGGTATTTAGGAAAATAGGTAATATATAATAGTTACGTAAACAGGTGTTTGGCAGTGACAGGATTGCAGTATAACATTCCATCAAAGTACAAATATAAATGAAGCAGCTGAATGCTGACTATGGGATTGGTGCAATGTTCAAGATATTTTATGATGCTTTATTATGTTTTAATGGTTTTATTCATATTTATATGTTTATTGATGTTTAGTTAATTATGTTAAGTATTTTTAATGTATTATGCAGTATTCAATTTTGCCTAACTGTAAGCCACTCTGAGTCCCCCTCAGGGTGAGATAGAGTAGGATAGAAATAAAGTAAATAAATAAATAATACATAAAATAGACCATCACAATACAATTGTGCAGATAGTCAACAGGATGAGGAACTTCAGTAACGGAATAATAATAATAATAAACTTTATTTATACCCCACCACCATCTCCCCAATGGGGACTTGGAGTGGCTAACATGATGCCAAGCCCTTTTAAAAATACAATACAACACAGAATACAAAATACAGAATACAAAAAAACAAAATGCATCAGAAAATAAATTACAATAACAAAATAAAATAAAATAAATAACAAAACACAATAACAAAATAAAATAATAAAGCAAATCCACACAATATAAACTAGAACAGGATGGGCAGGCCAAATGAACAAGATAAAATGATAAAACCCTGGGTGAGGTAGGAATAGAAAATATGTAAACGATGGGAGCCCAAGAAGATAAAACAGTGGGAAAAAGCCTTCCGTATAGCATGGGGGAAAGTGCATCATAGGGGCAACACTATAGATGGGGCAACAAAATGGGATTGATGGTCACTCTCCAAAGGCACATCGGAAGAGCCAGGTTTTCAGATTTTTCTTGACGCCTGCTAAATACATCAGTATTTCTTTGATTTCTTGTTTGCATCATCTTAACAAAAGAAATAGAAATAAGTATTGGTTAGCAGTCATTGGCATGTAATTTGAGGAACATTGGCTCCCTCTAGTGACACTCCATAAGTAGAACACTGCCTTCAGTCCTTTTGAGACTACAAATGCAGAGCCAGTATGCTGGTTTGGCCAGGATCTGAATCCCATCCAGCCATGGAATCACACTGGGTGACCTGGAGCAAGTTACACTCTCTCTGCCTCAGAGGGAGGTAAAGACAAACCCCCTCTGAACAAATCTTGCCCAGGAAACGTCACAAAAATGCTTGATGACACACAACAACAAAGGCAATAACAATGCAAATAGATTGTAGACGTAAAGGATGCCTCCTTATCATCTCTCCATGAAAACAAATGATACTTTGAATGGATAGGAGAAGCTCCTTTTTTTCTCCCATCTTAGCTTTTCCCATTGAATTGTTGTAGGGTTTTTGGGCTATATTTCGCCTGCATCTATTGCAAGCATCCTCAGAGGTTGTGAGGTCACAACCTCTGGGAATGTTTGCCATAAATGCAGACAAAATGTCAGGAGAGAATGTTTCTAGAACATGGCCATATAGCCCGAAAAATCTACAACAACCCAGTGATTCCGGCCATGAAAGCCTTCGACAATACATTTTTACCCACTGAACTGCCAGAGGGGCTCTTTTCATTGTCAGTGCAAACCTTGACACAATCATGTCATCAACAGTTTATTTAGTGAGTGATGTGGGTGTTCATGCAAATTAGACAGATAATAACACCTTTGTTAAAAAAAGCAATACTACACCTCTCTTGCTATCGATAGGGCCAGGCAACTTGAAAGGATATTGGGATTGATTTAGCTTATTACAGACTTCTACCACCTTCCAGTATCCTTCAAAGAAGCCTGGTAGTAAATGGGAGAAGCACTGAATTATAAGGTCTGTGAGTGAGGAAGGAGGTCCACATGTGCAGAGCATTTCATAACACAAATTAAGCTCATTAAAGTTTCATTGCCTGCTTCCATGGCAGGTCAATACATTCCTTAACACTTCAGTAGAACTGGGCTCTTATAGGGTCATGCCTTTCTTGCTGTTGGAGGCAGAGCAGCAAAATTCACCACTTCAAGTCAAGCAACATTGTGTCTAGGCCTGTCATTTTGGTACCCCAGGCAGCAAATCTCACCATCACATCTCTTCCTCTCTGGCAGTAATTATACAACAAGGATAATAATGTCATGACCCCCCTCCCATCCTGCAAAAATACATAAATAAACTGCCTAAGGCAGCTACCTCTCTCTACCTTGAACTGGAGCTGTCTCAGTATGTCCTGAATATCAAATGCTTGGACAAATTATTCCTGCTGCCTTCTCTTTCCACATGGAACTGCTAAGCTATACTTTGTGGCATTCATTGAAATTGAAAAATGTGGTTCAGTATGGCACAACGGTAGAGCATGAGGCAACATGGCAAGCTGAGACCCTTGGGAGCTCATTCACACTAACCATCACTTATGTCTTACTTTGTCTGAATTGTGACTTCTGTTGCAGAGATGAGAATGCTGAAATAAAAAAAATGTTATTCCCAAAGTATTATTGCTTAGAACCTAGGGACAGTGTAAATTCATTAATTCATTATGCCAGTTTTCCAGTCCATAAAACCTAGTGGTTAGGCTGGGCTGGCTGTGGCTAAGAACATGGCTACGTTGCTGGCTTGTTTTTTTACATAATACAAATCTCAGTTCTTGATTAATATAGTCAATGTTTGCCATGAATGTATAGTCTAAATATTTCAGTTAAGTTCATTGATTGAGTCCAGAGGTTTTGACAAAATTGCAGTTGGACAGTTAAGAAAATGCTGCCGGTTGATTCATTCTCTCCTCTGTTTCCTGGTTTCAGTAATCATAGTTTGAAGTTTGACCAGTCATGGCTTCCTCAAAACTAAGGTTTGGACTAGCTTTCTAATTCTGGGTAGGAAACAAATTGTCTGCAACTCTTTTCCTGTTTAGATTCCAGTTATATCCACTGGTTACCTTGCAGAAAGAGATAGCATGTTACAGATAGACCTGGATTATTGTATTTTCAGTTTTAACATCTGGAGGACTGAGATGAGACTTTCTAACTGAATTGTAATAGCTATAAAGAACAAGTGTCAAATTACTGAATATCAGTTTAGCAGATGTATTTGGGACAATGCTTTTCTATATCTTTACTATGAAGTATTAGTGACAAATAAACACAAATTATGATCAGGAATAGCTCAGTTGTGAGTGGTGAAATATTGCTGTATGTACAATTTATTATCCTAACATGGGGCAAGTGAAGGAAGATACATTTAATCTATCAACTTTTATCACACAACTATTTTCCATTATCCCTTGGAACATAGCGATGCAAACGTTTCTTTTTTTTTTCATGTCGCAATTCATCCATCTAACATTGGTTTCCAAAGGTAAATACAGCTAAATTGAAAAGCTGGTTATCCTCCCTGTTTCTGATGAATAATCTGGCTTTTGGCACAATACTCTTTGATTGCAAGATAACATATTCACAAGGTGTCTGTAAGTCAAGACCTTTATGTTTTAAAAAGAATGATGATTTTTGACATGTTGTACCATGGGAATATGAATAATATTTGCACACCTTGATTTTCTTTGCTTATGCCCCATAAGACATTGGGAGTCCATCTTAGGAGAGAGAGTTCAATGAATACCAGTCTCCCATATGGCCAGTGAAGTCAGAATTTAAATCCTATAGACCAGTGGTTCTCAACGTGTGGGTCCTAAGATGTTTTGGTCTTCAACTCCCAGAAATCCTAACAGCTGGTAAATGGCTGAGATTCTGGGAGTTGTAGGCCAAAACACCTGGGGACCCACGGGTTGAGAACTGCTATAGACCATGGTTACTGGTTCTATAGACAGCGGAAACCGATTATGGAAGTCCACACCTGGCAAGCCCAGCTAACCCAATGTTCCTGGAAGATCAGACTTACCAGTAGAAGGCATGTGACAGAAGCTTTATTCAATCTGCAGAAGGGACACATGTACTACAACGGTCCCCAAAATGTACAAGCATAGGGACATGCAATCATTCTTATACAGTAGAAATTTCATACATGAACATTATCTGAACTCAAGTTTTCCTACCCAAGTATCTGATTGGCTGAGAGCTGGGACTGGCCGGCTCTGCCTCCACCTGTGATTGGTCAGAAGGAAGACTTTGGCCAACTTGGGCTGTGATTGGAGAAAGGCTTGATGACACAGCCAGGGTTCTCCTCCCAGCTGGGTTGGCCTTGTGCAGAGAGGGACCCACAGGAAGCCCAATCCATATTTGGCAGGATTATGCTCACAGCAGGGACCTGGAGAGCACAAATGATGGGGTTAAGTCCAGTTTTCCTGTGAATAATAAGTGTTGACCTTTGCTGGCTGTTTTCAGACTGAACAAACAATAGAAAGGCCCTGAGATATCTATTCAAGGTCATCAGGCAAACAGAGTTCTCTTTGTATAATGTCCTGGGTGTTTGATGGCCTGGATCTCCAGAGGAGAGATCCAGAAGAAATAATAAGTCATTCAGGAAGGTGTATTGTCAATTAATAATTGCTTTTTAGTCACCCTGCCCTGTCTGGACAGAGTTGGAGAAACAGTCCATGACATTTGCCTTCCATTACATTCAAGGATGGAGTCCAATATAGTATATATGTATAAGTTCCGGATGGAGCCCCCAGTGGCACAGTGAGTTAAAGTGCTGAGCTTGTTGACCTAAAGATCGCAGGTTCGAATCCAGAGAGCAGTGTGTCAGCTCCAGCTTCTGCCAACCTAGCAGTTCGAAAACATGCAAATATGAATAGATCAATAGATACGGCTCCAGTGGGCAGATAACGGTGCTCCATGCAGTCATTCTGGCCTCATGACCTTGGAGGTGTCTATGGACAATGCCAGCTCTTCGGCTTAGAAATGGAGATGAGCCCCACACCCCAGAGTCAAGACACGACTGGACTTCATGTCGGGGAAAACCTTTACCTTTCCGGAATTGTGGCACAATGGTTGTTCACTTCATATGGGCTTATGCTTTGTTCTTTTAGAGTCCATATTATGGGAATCAGCACAAATGCAGGTAAGCACAGATAAAAAAAGGAAAGACAAGTAATTCATTTAAAATGATACTTTTGAGGCAAAAAGATACAATTTATTCCAGGAACTGGTATAACTGGTAACAAGGGTGTGGGAAATGGGCCTTTTTGGAGAGGTTTGAGATGTGCACTGTTTTGAAGCTAATGATTTTGGTATACAAAAATCCCAACTCATGAATGTTTATAGCATCAAAATTCAAAACCAGGAGGAGCCACTTCAACTGCCTAAGTCACTGGTACAAAAGAACCAGTGGAGAAGAAGCAAAAACTGCCCTCAGGTCCATGAATCAATACTGAAGCAATTAAGAATAATGAAGCATTTTCCTATTGTGTTTCCTCAAGAGTCTTCTTAGCTGTGTACTTGCCACAGGGAGGAGAGGCTTTGTGTGTGCCTGCAAAAGCGAATGGAGAGAAGTCCGGTGAACGCTTGAGAAAATCAGGAGTTGATGAGGCAGTTCAAAAATCTTTGAAAC